CCCACTCTGTCTCTAGTGAATCCTCTCACACTTCTGCAGATCTGGCCTGTACCCCGGTTCTTGTATGCATGAATAAATAAATCTTTAAAAAAAATTAAAAGAAAAAGAAAATAACACCACACTCAGAGTCAAAAGACTAATCCTGGTTCTGATTCATCCTCTCTGGGTGCTCTTGGGTATGTCATTTCAATTTTCTCAGCCTTAGCTGACTCATCTATAATATGATAAGCTAATACAAATTTTGCATTTTTTAATTTTACATTCCAAATGTAAAATCCCATAACTCGTGTGGTGGGATCCTATTAGTATACTAACATTAGAGGGCAAGGACAAGTTACTTAGTAAGCTGTTCTATAAATCATGTATATAAAGGACACATTGTTTTGTTTTACCACAAATCTGGAAAGATCTTCCTACAATTTTGGCCTACACGCTTTTAATTAAGTAATTTAAAATTCTACTAAGTTGATAATTTATTCATGTATTTAGTGTATTCTAGCTAAAAATCTAATTTATTAAATATGAATATTTTTCAAAATTCAAAGTTTGTTTTTGTTCATTTTTTTGTATGCTTGGACCATGTGTCACTAACAAAATAACAGGAATATATATATACTGAGGTATTCAATAAAACCAGACCAAATCTAAAAGAACTCAGCAGTGTGGTAACAAATACTCAATAAAGCTTTAGAAATTATAACCCATGATATTAATATTGGAGATATGTAACAAAATATGAAATATTCTTCTGTGTGTCTGGCCTGATAGCCACATTTTCAGTCTGACATAAGCCACAGTCAAAACATAACTAGATAATGTGAGGGGTGAAGGCCTATAGGGAATCAAGCAGGAAATAAATATCCAAAGATCATACTCAAAATATTTAAGGCACTAATATCCATTCCAGGCGTCTTCCCAAAAAAGTCTTTGAGCTATTCAACTTTTCTTTTTCTGAAAGGTCTAAATTATTTAGGGATCTTTTTGTTTAGGGGACTCAAGAGACCCTTAGGTATCATGATGCATGGCTTCAGGCTACTGGTGGCTCATTTCTGCATAGATTCAATTCATAATAGTAAGAATGACTTTGTAAAATTTTGTAAAAGGGAACATTCAAAGAATGAGTTGGTGGTTTTCATTTAAACCAATTTGAAAGAATGAATAAATCTGAAAAACACACGTGATATATGTGTGTGTAGGTGTGTGTGTAGATTATATATAAATACAAATATATCAATAATTTCTACAACATCCATTACACTACAAGCCCACAACCGCTCTAAGTCATGGCAGCTTTACAGATTTTGCTCTTTACTAAGCTGCTAAGATCCAGAAATAGTAACATTTCTGTCCTTTCTTTCCCAACTAACTGAAAAACAGTTCTCATCCCACTGATTGAATGATTCAAGGAATAAAGTGTTGTCGCTAATTTACATACAGTGAATTTCTTAGACTATCTATGCAACTCAATAGGTACTTGTGTAACTAATCCATTGTGAAGCAAAGGAGAACTGTTGAATTAATTCCAAGCATACAGGCAGTTCACTCAAAGGAAGATAAAAGCTTAAGAACATCAAGTGATCAAAATGTCTAGAGTCCCTTCCATAGGAGAGAAGAAAAAAAGATCTAAACTAGTCTGTCCCAGTAATACCAGAGTTTGTTAAACTCATAGCTGCCTAGCCTAGCAAAGTCCCTGGCACATACTACTGTTAAAGATTTTTAAATGAATGAATGAATCAGTCAATAAAACTATCAGTTGGTCATAAATTTCAACAAATATATTAACTTCTCTAGCATCTTCTTCTTGTATACTTGCCCTAAGATCAAGATGTCAGGTATCCTCCACTGACTTAGGTAACAAAATAATATAGCTCTGTTTACCTTTCCAGATCCAGCTCAAAAGTGTACTCCAACTTCTTTTCTTTCAGGCTCTCAAATGCACTATGCTGTCTCACTCCTGCACTTTTTTTTTTTTTTCGGTTCTGTCTAGAGAGCTTCACTTAACTCTCAGTCTAGACTTTCTTTCTTTTGATCAGTCTTTCCTTCCGGTACTTCCCTCCTGTCCTCTCCACAACTTCTAGGTGTCTTGCTGTATGTACTTATCTCATTTTGTTACACTTGGTTATTTCCTTTTCTATTTCCTATACTAGGAACAACAGGTAGGACAGCAACTGTGTTTCTCTCATGCTCAAACAATGTAACCACATTAGGCTCATAGTTAGAGCTCAGTAAACATTTGCTGGATAAATGAGTGAAAAACTGAGTGAATGAATGAATATTAATTAGCCTTTTATGAAAATGAAAATGTCTTCACTTCTTAATAAGAGTCCCACATTCTTAAATAAGTCATATTTTCAAAGCATGGCAAGGAAACTAGCACAGCTATTTTAATTCAAATAATAAAATTCAGTTTTCTCCTGTAACTTCATAGATTACCAAGCAGAATGTTTAAACAACACTCACTTTCCATAAATTACAATTGTTTCCCGGAGACGTCAGTTTATTTTAAACATGTACTTGAACACAAAAAATAACTAAGCAACTTAAAAAATAAAATTTCATCCCAGCTAGGAAACAGATCTTTATATTCAAAACTTTTTCCCCCTTTGGTTATAAAACCCTTTAATTACCATAATAGCTGTCTGGGAGACTTTCCGATAATATGTTAAATCAATGTTTCTAGCACTGACTTTTGGTTTTAATCTCCTTTTATTAATTCCACAAATTCCCATTAGGTAGTCCATCCAAAAGCAGCCCCATGAAACAAAATGTCTTTAAGGATCCAGTTTTAAAGCTATAAATGTTTTTGAGTGACTAATCACAATTGTGATTTAAAAAATCTGCCCTTGCTCTTACAAAACATCACCACAAAAGGATGCTGGAAAATTAAAACCTCGGGAATTTCATTAGGGACTCTTAGGTTTAATTCAGTGGTTTGACATTATCATCAGCTAATCAGCTGTGTCTCCCAAGTCTCCTTCCTATAAGGTTGGTAGCATTTATTTCAAGCTCAAGAATGCTGAATTCTTTCTGAAAATTGCACTTTTTTTAAGAAACAATTTTCTCAGTTCAATCAGTAAGTATTTTTCCCCCATTCTGTATGTATACAGTTGGAGTAGTGAGGGGCTACACTCTGATGCAACCTTGAATTAACTTAATTCTCTGCAGCTCACCCCCACCAGCAACTGCAGTGGAATAAACTAGATATCCCAGGAGGTTGTGAGTTCCTCAGCAAGGCAGCCTTCCAGGAGGGCAGGAGAAATGAAGAGTCTTCACCCAGGACCTACTACCCACTCAGATGTGTCTCCACATGGGTTCTTTTCCCATTCCACGTGGTCTAATCTCTCCTCAGAGGTTCCTGGGGTAATCCATCCTGTTTGGTTTCTCAGCCTCCCTCCCTTCCCCCTCCCAATCATCTGGACCCAATTTACAAACCCCAAACTGCCCAAGAATGTATGCAGGGCCTTTTCTGGGAGCGTCTGGAAGGGAAGTGTAAACCAGACAAGACAGAGGCCAGGAGCACAAGAGCTGCTTTAATCCACGAGGTCGGTCACAACTACCAACGGGCATTTTAGGCAGCGATGTAGGAGTCATAGCAGCCAAGGGGAAACCCTGGGGCGGCAGGGAGGGCAAGCAAGGATGGCACAAGGGATGGATGAGAAGGCTGCAGCTTGACAACAGTCTCTCCTGGATCAGCTGCAAGAAGGATGTGGTCCTGTGTGACAGGCAGTGGTTCCAACCCCCTGGTGGGTGGGGGTAGGAAAAAGATGCGCACGCAGGGCTACTTTTATAGAGAAAAGGGTGGGGGAGCGAGCCAGGTCTCCCAGGTCCCCAGCACCACACTGCAAGCACCAAAAGGTTGCAAACCTCCCTCCTCCTCACTGATTCATCCGTGGACGGATGCGCGAAGAGGTGCATCTTAGTAGCTGGGAAGCCTGGCAACAGGTTTCCAAGGGTCGGAGAAGAGAACTTGCTAGCGCTGGCCAGATTAGGCTGCACGCGCCTGGGAAGCACATGTTCATACAAACACTGCCACAAGGCGGTCTTTCTCCTCACCCCGCCTCCGCCTGTCCTCAGCTGGCACCGACAAGTGCTGCCCCCTGCCCTCTCCCACCTACTCTCCCGAGGGGCAGTCCAGCAGCCCAGAGGACCGCCCCCGAGGTCAGAAGCAAACTTCCATAACCCACTGACCTCTTCCGGGGGGCCAGGGCAGCCAGCCAAGGCCATGCAACGCACACACCCCATCCACGTTCTTTTCCCAGTGAGGAGGTGGGAGCTGGTACAGCGCCCAGAGAGGAGGTGGGTGACTGCAGGGACCCGCGTGAACGCTCCTGGGAAAGAACAGCCCTGCCCCCACCCCCACCCCACGTCCGGACGCTTCTCCTGGTACCCGATCACGAAGCAACCTCGCCTCAGATGGGCAACTCGTTTGTGGCCTCCTAAAGACAGTGACAACTGCCTCCGAGTCCGGTGCTTCCATCAGGGGCCTGACGCCGGGTAGTGCAGGAGCCCGGTCCTCCCATTTCACAACCCTGCCCCGCTCTTGTGCCCCGCGATCCGGGTTGAGTGCACAGAGCCCAGAGGACGGCTAGGTGCCCAGCAATCCCAAGGCAGGACACCCGGCGGAGCACCACGAGGAAGAGGGACCCTAGCCAGCGCCCCGAGGGAGGGTAAGGGAAGCAGCGCGCGAGGCTGCGGGAGCTGCAGCCCAGCTCCCGGGCAGCGGGAGACGCTGCAGCAGGCATTGGGATGCGCGCCAGCGAGCCTTTCCTCGCGAGCCGCAGGATCTCTTTAGCATAAACTGTCTGAGAGCCCGGCTGGCTGGAGGCTTCCTTTCAAACATGGTATTTTGCAAATTGAGGAGACAAGAGGATGCCGGCTCCCAACTTCAAAACGTGCCAAGGAGCGGGAGCACGAATCTCCAACCTGCTCAGAGAATCGGAGGTGGGGTGGGGGGGGGAGAGGGTGGGTCTAACCCCTGCCCCAGCGGGTGGGCTACTTACGTTTCTGCCGAGTGGGAGAACTTTCCACGCCTTGTCCTGTGGGCTCCTAAATGCATTTGTATGCATTTGTCCGTGCAGCGAAGCGCTAACGGAAAACAGAAGCCAACTTCGAACTGCTAAGGTTGCAGGTACTGTCCATGAAAAAGGGGAGGGGAAATCACGTGAAAACGACGCTCCAAAACCGCAACCACAATTTAAAAAGGGAAGGGGAGCTGGGGAAGAAGCCGGAGACAGCGCCCGAGGGGTCGCTAGCTAGGCTAGCCCGGGGAGGGGAGCGCTCCCCCGGGGAGGGCGGGCGAGGAGCCGGCAGCGGCGGGAGCCGGGCTGCGAGTGTACCCCTCGAGTTCACTTGCGGTTCAAAGGCGACTCTGTGACTCCAGTGGAGTCCTCGGCTTTGGGCCTGGGAGAAGAAGGGGCGGGGGAGGAGAGGAGAAGATGAAGGGGGGCAGGAAGTCCTTGGAAATAACCCGCGCCGGCACATTTGTCAGGCAAGCTCACACACCCACTTCGGAAATGAGCTCCGGTGCGAGCGGGCCGGTGGCAACTGCAGGCGCTCGACGTTGACTGCCGCCGGCTGCTTCCCCTGCAAGGAGAGGAGCCAAACAAATCCGGCCGGTGTTAAATTTCACCGCGCACTGACTTGCAATGACATCACCAAACAAAATGCACACCTCCCCCCTCCGCCCCGCAACCCCCCCTGCCCCGCGCCCCGCGCCCCGCTCGAGGCTCCCGTCCGCGGCAGCCTAGGCGGGCGGTGCTCCCCGCGCGCACGCAGCTGCGGCCAAGGCACCGCCTGCACGCGCTCCCTTCCCACGCGGTCCTGTGCCCCTGCATTTCCGAAGTTTGTAGCTAGCAGCCTTCCTCCCCCGCAGTGTCCACGTACTATTCTCCTTCTCAGCAGTCCCTCGTTTCATGTTTTCCTTTTGTGTGCTGCCAATTCTGAATCTTCCTATCTCTTAATCACACCTTCTGGAATTATGTTTAGCTCAGGAGGCCTTCACTCTGCTCGACTTTCCTTCCTGTGGCCTAAGTCATGTAATAACTGACTGCTACGACTTTCAGATTCTCATTTCTACCTTTCTTTTCCTCCACTCTTGACTTTCCTCTTTCTTGTTACCGTCTTCTGCTGACTTTTCTCTCCTTACTCTTCTGCCTTCTCTTATTTGCTTACGAGCATGGTTGTGGTTATGCATCAAGAGCCTGTTAACGTGCCACAGCCTCACCAATTTGAATACCTTCTCCAATTTTTGTAGACTTTTTTGGGACGTATTTCCCCCATTTCACCACAGCCTGTTCAGACTTCAGCCTGAGAAGTCCACCTTCCAATTTGTGCCCCAAATCTTAGTAAGTGTTGATATTTTGATCCTTATTAATAAGCCTTGAAATTTCAGAAGAACAAGCATCGATTACTGTGCTCACCCTTGTGTTTTCACCACCTAAAACACTGTTTGCCATACCACTTTAATGAATGTCTGCTAGATACCACTGAATATCACTTTCCGAGTTTTCTTTGCGCATTCTATGCATAATCCACAGATGGTGAACCTTCCACATGATGAATGACAGCCCACATTACACACATATTATAAAGGTTTAAGTGACCATACCATATTGATGAGTGAAATGTTGTGACGCTTGAAACTTGAGGATTTTTCCCCCTGGGAATATGCAATTTAACTTGTCATTCTCACCCTCAATCTTCCAACGTTTTATTTGAAATAATTTTAGATTTATATAAAAGCTACAAAGATAATACAGAATTCCTGTGTATCCTTCACCTACCTTCCTGTAATGTTAATATCTAATATAACAAAGTAGAATTATCAAAAGCATTTAAATTAACATTAATTCAATACTATTAACTAATTTATAGATCTTATTCAATTTTTTTCATTTATTCCCAAGTATCTTTTATCTGGTCCAAGATATAAACCAGGATTCCGCACTGTGTTTTGTTAGTTAACTAATGAATTTACAGAAATTAGGTTTTCCTGTCTCCTTAGGTTCTTCCCATCTGTGGAAATTTCTGTCTTCTTTTGTTTTGTGGGTTTTTTTTATGACTTTGACACTTTTGAAGAACTCTGATCAGTCATTTTGAAGAAAGGCTCTCAACTTAGGCTTGTTGATATAGTCTCTATAAGATTCAGGTCACATTTTTTCAACATAAGTATCACTAAAGTGATATTGTGCCTTTCTCAGAGGATCATATCAGGTATACATATACTGATGCATCTTATTACTAGTGATGTTAACTTTGATCACTTAAAGTGCCAACTACCAGGTCTAGCCATTCCAAACCTCACCCCTCCCCATTTTTGTAGCAAATAGTCACAGCTTTTTGGAAATCTCGTAGTAATCCAGGGCTGAGAGAAGAGGGTCTTTCTTAAATAATCTTAAACTACAGTCTTTCTGTTTTTTAACTGCTGGTAACTAAAGCAAGACAGGGCAAATTTTAGTTAGGTGGAAATAAATAAGAATTAAATAGATCCTAAATAACTCACCATTCTGTTTCCATTTCCCATCATTTACTTAAAGACTAGAAATCTTGTTTTCTGTTTTCAATGTTGAGTGTAAAATATTGCATACAGAATGAATTGGAGTTATTGCTAAAATACATCTCATGTTCTTTGAGTTTAAGAAAATCTGCTAGTTGGCATTGATAAATCCCTTTCCATAAAGATGATGCCATAGGGCACACATACCCACAAACAGAGTACATTCGTTTGGGTTATAGAAGGCATTTGCTCCATGAAAAAAAAATAATGTAAGATTTGAAGGCTATAAACTTTTTAGAATGGTGGAGATGAGCATAGATTAAATTGATCAAGATAAATTAGCTAGAGACCTTGGGACTTAGTTGGGCCTTCAACAAAGAAGAGGATTTACATAAATGGAGAGGAGAAAGATAGTATGTTGGAAATAGTAGACTAACAGCAAGTGGTCAAGAGGAAGATACCAGATTTGTATTCAGAGGAAGCTGAATAGATTAGTCAGCTGGAATTAAAGCTAGATGAGAGATGAGGACAAATTATCCTGCATGCCAGGATAAGTTTTCAGTCATTTAATAATATTGATAGTGTTACTACTACCTTCCAGGAACTCTTCCAGGCACTGAGTTACATCAGTGAACAAAATGCATAAGAATTATTCCCTTCATGGAGTTTATATTGATTGCATCATTTAAGATTTAATTTATATGTATAACAGAAAACTAATCGGAGACTTTCAAATGGATAAATGATTATGTTCCAAATTCCCATTTTAAGAAGACTGGCCAGTATCAGATGCCAAAATTAAAAAGGAAAAGAGGATAAGTTAGATACAGAAATGTATTCATATCTTGAACTGTAATAAAGATAATAAAAAAACAGGTCATTAAGAAAGCCATTATTAATGGCCATCCTACCAAAAGCAATTTACAGATTCAATTCTATTCCAATAAAAATCTCAATGACATTCTTCAAGGAAATAGAACAAATATTGATGAAATTCTTTTTTTTAAACATTTATTCAAATTCGTGGTTCTTTTTTATTTTTTTAATTTTTTTTTTTATTTATACAAGCACTGGGTACAGTCAGAAGTGCGGGAGGATGAGAGAATTCACCAGAGCCAGAGAGGGAGCAGAACAGGCAGAAGGACCGAAACACACTGCTGAGGGAAGCAGCGGGCGGCAAGAGAGGTCTGCGCCATGTGGGACCCTCCTCGGGTGGCCAGGGAGTAGCCAGGGATCGAACTGGTGCTGCAGAGGCTGCGGGCAGCTTCGCAACCCAGTGCTCAACCGCTGCACCACTGGGGAGGCCCTGATGAAATTCTTATAGAACCACAAAAACCTCGAACAGCCAAAGCTCTCCTGTCTAAAACAAAGGAGAATGAAGGTATCACATCCCCAGACTTCAAACTATACTACAAAGCTATAATAATTAAAACACTATGGTAATGGAACAAAAACAGACACACAGACCAAAGAAACCGAATATAAAGTCCAGAAATAAAGCCACACATATATGGACAACTAAACTTTGACAAAGGAACAAAGAATATGCAATGGAACAAGGACACTTTGTTCAATAAATGGTTCTAGGAAAACTGTACCACCACAAGCAAAAGAATGAAGCTAGATTACTACCTCACACCATGTACAAAAACCAAATCAAAGTGGATTAAAGAAATAGACATAAGATCTAGTTCACAAAATATATAGAAGAAAAAATAGACAAGATACTACATGACATAAATCTCAGTAAAATGTTTAAGACTCATCCCCCAAAGCAAAGAAAGTGAAGGAAAAGATAACAGTTGGGATTATATCAAGCAAAAAAGGTTCTGTGCAGCAAAAGAGACATTAACCAAAATAAAGAGACACCCTACTGATTGGGAGAAAATTCTTACACTCCATACAACTGATAAGGGACTGATCACAAAAATATACAAAGAACTCACACAATTCAACAAACACAAAATAACCAATCAAGTCAAAATATGGGCAGAAGAACTTAAAAGACATTTCTCCAAAAAGGAAATGCAAATGGCCAACAGGTATATAAAAAAATGTTCAACATCCCTCATAAACAGGAAATGCAAATCAAAACCACAATGATATACCACCTTACACCAGTGAAAATGACACATATCAAAAAACTAGCAACAACAAACGTTGGTGAGGATGTGGTGAAAAAGGAACTCTCCTACACTGCTGGTGGGAATGCAAACTGGTCCATTCACTATAGGAGGTTACTCAGACTGCTGAAAAATGGAGCTACCATATGCCCCAGCAATTCCACACCTACAGATCTACCCAAAGGACACAAAAACATTAATTCAAAGGGACACCTGTACTTCTATGTTTATTGCAGCACTCTTTACAATAGGTAAACTGTGGAAACAATCCAAATGCCCAAAAATAGATGACTGGATCAAGAAGATATGGTGTGTAGACACAATAGAATACTACTCAGCAATCAAAAATGACAAACTCATGCCATTAACAGCAACATGGATGGAGCTTGAAGGGATTATGCTCAGTGAAATAAGTCAGAAGGAAAAAAGAAAAATATCAGATGGTTTCACTTATAGGGGAACCAAATAAGGGATCAGGGAAAAAATAATAACAATAAAAAGCAAAACAAAAATAAATAGGCGACTATAAATCAGAGACATTCTGCAGGTGACAGGGAGGGAGAGGGATCAAAATG